ATAATGATCTAAATAAAGAACTAACAGTAGGAAACTATTAAAATTTGAGCCTGTGTTGTTTTAGGACATCAGATATTCATCTGACGAGGCCATTTTAACCAGCCTGGTTTTCGTTCATGGCTGTAACAAATACGTACCCACCTGCCGTAAGCTCTTACACTGCACCCAGAACCCAGACCACGGCAGAGGGATTAGAGACTCCATCTCTTCAAAGCAAAATCCATTTGAAGGAAGAGTAAATGACTGCATTCTGTCCCAGAACCAATGGAATTTTCACTGGTTTTTAAAAAATAATAATAATTTTTAAAAAAATAACAATTTATTTAAAAATCAAGGAAAATTTGAAGATTTGCATCAAAAAGGTGGAGTTAGAGAAAGCCCAATAGCTGGGTGAGAAAAATACTTTTCTGCAAGAATAAAATCACCCCACAATGAGCCAGTCTACACATTCACCCACCTGTACTCGGACAGGTCCAGAGACCTCACCTGCACAAAATCAGCTGCGAGTTCAGCTAGACAGAGCTCTCTGGGCTTGCTTAGGTCTTGAAGCTCTTCTTACAGAACACAACAATTTCACTACATGTACCCAAAGAAAAGCAAAAAGTTCCCAAACCGTACTGTCCTTACAAATTACTGTTCTGTTTTGAAAATCATTAGCTTCATTTCAGAGTCAACTGGCACACAAAGATTCACTCGCAGCTTTAGGGTGCAAATGCTCGGAAGACGTGTGGGAGTATTTCCTTAGAAATAAATCCTTGAATCATAACTCCTATGCTTGAACTAACACGTTAATAAAACCATCAATAAATTCTTCAAATTCACCCTCCGAGTGACAAGAGTTTTGCACTATATCAAGAGGCAAAACCAGCAACATTTTGCTCCTTTAACAGCTCTTCTAGCAAGAACATTTTAAATATCACCTGGTCCTGTAGTCCAGTCTGGTAAAAAGTTTATCCAGCACGTTAAAGGAACAGCAACCTAAGGAAAATTCAGATGCACAAGACACAAAACTACTTCTGAATTTCGTAAGCATCTTTGATATTAAGACTAACAATAGCAATATGTTTCTTTAGAAGACTGATGAAGTTAAAGAAAAAAAAAGGTTAAAATAAAAGGCAGACCTGTTATTTTGGCAAGTCAGTGGAGGAAATTCTTCCTGGCTCAGTTATGAAGAAAGTTATTATTTATAAAAGCCCATCCTCCAGTTTACTTTGGAGAATTGCTGTTCCAAGTAAATGCAGCTCGGTGAGGAAAACATACACATGAATGTTTCACACAAGGAATGACAGAGTGACATCCTGAACAACCCAAGCAGGATGAGGAGGATAAAGCCTAATGTGTTTTACGCTAAACAGAGAACCCAAATTAATAAATTGAAAGTAGCATGAAAGGATGCTCCTCGTCAAGCTTTGTGCTTGACTGACACTCTCCTGTAGAAACTGAGAGCATAATCCTATCCTCAACCTAGCATCTCCATGTGGTTTGGATTCTTTTGCAAATCACATTTGATCAGACTTTCCTGGAGGAAGAAGATACACTCTTCATGGCAAACATTATGAATCTCTTACTTCAGTGGCTATTTCCATGATGTTAGATTACCATTAATTAGATTATCCCAGACACTCCTTTTTATTTTAATCCGTAGTGTGATCAAATTCAAAGCCTCTCAGCAGCACCCCACCAACATCTGGAAATCAATCAACTGATTCAGAAATAATTTTCCTACCCTTGAAATTAAGAAAATCTGTGTCTTTTTGAGGATTTAAGCCCAGTCTACTTACGCATTTGGGACACTGTAATACACCCTGCCTATACTGATAAGAACATCTGTTTCCCACTGGAAGAAGCACTACTACAAAGTGTGAACAAGCTGTTAGTTGAAAGCAAAGTCTCAGCGACAACAAGAAGTTTCTTTGCAACGTAACATAAATTAAGTAATCCTGTATAGCACAGGAACAGGAGGGTATTTTTAATCTGTGAAGTCTACCGCCCCAAATAATCAGTGAATTAAAAGGGTGACTTGCAAGATCCACCTTCCAAAATGCTGCTTGCTTCTTGCTGGAATGCAGGGAGTGATTTCAGGAGGAAGACACTAACGCAGAACCATTAAGATGGGCTCTCTCCTCACTCAGCTTTTGCATGGACAGACGGTCTGTGTCAGTCCTCCAGTACAGAGGGATTTGCAAATGGAACCTCAATTATCCCACAATAACGGCTTTCAGACTGGACAAGCAGCATCTTGAAATAACTGAATAGATCAGAAAAGTCAATGAGCCTCAAAGAACAAAAAGTTCTAGGTAACTTTTTTCCTCTCAGCTACTTATAAAAGAACATTCAACACCCATTTCCTCAGCAAAGAACCACCTTTTTCATCTCAGCCAGACAGGGACACTTCTAAATAAACAAAGTAAAAAAAAAAAAGAGCCCTAGACTACAAAGTCGGTTTTAAAGAATGAAGCCTGACACTACTAAATCAAAGCCAACGTCAAGCTGAAATTTAAATACATCCTGAATATTCATTACACAGCGCAAACACTTAAGAGTCATAGAATCATAGAATGGTTTGGGTTGGAAGGGACCTTAAAGATCATCGAGTTCCAACCCCTGCCATGGGCAGGGACGCCCTCCACTAGAGCAGGTTGCTCAAAGCCTCATCCAACCTGCCGTGATCTGTTTTCACACAAGAGAATAATATTTTCTTCATGCACAGAATCTGAGTTTGCAACGCCCCTTGACTGCTCCAGAATTCTATCAGGAAAGCCAAGAACCTGGGGTACCAACCATGAACCTAATGCAGAACCCTGCAGCTTACCAACTTGGGAGATGGTGCATCTCGCAAGAGGGCTGCTTCCACCTGCTGGAGATGGGAAATATTAATGTGAGACCAAAAGACCCTCCTGCTCGTAGGGACCAAGATGGTTTGTGGCAGCAGGGATGCTTTCACTTCATTCTGGAAGAGAAGGAACCTCACCCGAGTGACCAGCTCTGATTTCAGCCAAACCACATATCTGCGGACACAACCCCATGAGCGGCTTGCTGCTGATGAGATGTCCAAGCGTTAACTGAAAGTGAACACACAGAGATCTCAAATCCTCTGAATTCATATGCAAAAAGTCCTCCAAAAGACAAGAAAATTCAACCTAAAGTGCACGCAGGGCTCCTCCTGTGCCCTTCCGCTGGGCTCTGGCGTTCCTCTCGTTCCGGACAGCGAGAAGTGCTGCTGTCCAGCTTTTCCTTTTGCTTTACCAGCACCAGTGGGATATTGAAAGTACTCCCCCAACCACCACCATTCAGCTTCCCCGTTCCCAGCATTAGAAGCACCTCTTTTATTGCAAACCACATTTAGGGCAAGATTTGGAACAAATAATTTGACTGTGCCTGCTGATGCTGTGTCTCAGCACCAGTACCCATGTTGCTCTCACCTGCGCACAGCTGTAAAGAAACAGCCTGCTTCTATCTAATTCCTTAACAACTAGGAATTAAATAATCTAAACATCATTCAGCTTCCAGCAATACAATCTCTTATATTTTGCACTGGTTTCAGTAACTCAAAGACATTCCATCTATGACCAGTTTGCTGGGACGACCAGAGCTGCAGTTCTGTCCCTGCAGTCACCCCAACACGCGTGGATTCCTTCCTATCCCTGTCCAAACCCCGCACACCCCACCGGCAGAACAACTGACTGACCTGTTTTCATGGGATGCTGCGAAAAATATTTGTTTGTGAACAGCACACCAGGCAACCCATGCTGAATCTTCATTCAAAACAATCCTAACACACATGCGTTATAAAACCAGGAATTGTCATAAATCACTGTTATCTTAAGTTACCTCGCATTTTTCTTCTAACTGACGTCGTTTAGATTTTATCGTCAGACAATTAGAATAACTACGCGCAAGCTTGCTGCAGCAGAGAACTGTAAAACATAATAAATCTGAAGACATTTGTAGAGAGTTACCCATTCAATGAAAACCACATTTAAACTTCAGTATGTAAGCAACTTAAATATCCTTTTTCAGCCCATAAAGACTCTTCAGACTTTCAGTACTATTTATATTCCTTTTTTCATCTGACTTTGGCAACATAAGGGTACACAGCCTCACACACCCTTCTTCTGGCCGGCGTGGATTCTGGTATGCAACAAAACACAGGCGAACTCGCAGCACAAAGTTCTCCAAGTCAGCTTGAGGGAGTTTAGTATCACACTCCCCTAAAGTCCTTGGGAAAAAACCAGCCAGACCCTCCATCAGTAGCATTCCTGGACCTATTAATTGCCAGTGATTAATGAATCAAATAGGACTGTTATCTTGAAACAGAAAAATGACTACTGAAGATTCAAAAGAACTCAAGAAAACATTTTTCTCCCTGGCTATACACTTTAAGAGCAGCCGCTCATCTCAGACTACAAGCCGTCACACATCAAAAGACATTTTAAGCCTCAGCAGCACCTCGAGAAAACCACATTATTCTTAAAAGTTTCAAAACACTTATCCTGCCATTACCAGCAACAAGCTACGGTGGTCTTCTTACATGTAACAAAATGACACCTGAACATCAGGAAGTACTGCAGATGGTATCGTTAAGAATAAATCACACCCGCGTGTGGTGTAATTAAATCATCAATATACTGCGCAAGGAAAGTTCTTCAACCTTGACATCAGTTTGCACACCTGCTAAAACAATTTCCAACCTTTTCTCTCATTAATTGCAACAATTATAATGGTGTTTGGAGGTGATTTAGGCTGTTCTACATTCAAGGCCAAAACAAAACTACCAATTTCTTTCACTTTGGAACCAGCCCGCAACGCTGTGACACTGAGGTTCCCAACGGAACCGTACAGTGCTTGGTTCTTCTGGATTGCTGGCAGCACATCTTCCTATGTCTTCCAGTTTCTGGCAAGCTAATACATTTCAGAGACTGATAAGATCTTACTGTAAACAAATCTAATTAACTCACGTGTTTTTAATTTCAGACACGAAAGTCGGAAGAACGACTTACTCGGGTCTCGACTGCTGTACGGCCATCCCGAGGCAGGTAAAAAAGACGGCATAGGAGAACTTGCCCTGCTGTCATCCTCCACTTGCTGCGTAATATGCCGCACAGTTTCTTTATTTTTTCTGTTCTTCCTGCGCCCCGTGGGCTGCCAGCCATCCCCCACTCCCTGTTCCGAGAAGGCGTTCTGTATTGCACTATCCTTGGCAGAATGTAGCTCACTCCCTCCGTAATGGGACGGTGAAACCTGCTCCTCTTTGATACGTAAAGACCCATAGCCCATGTCACTAGACCAAAGAGACTGGGATGAAACGTCTTCGTGGCTGTCTGTTTTTGGTTCTTGATCCTCTTTTCCATAACTACTCCCTCCTTCGTGGCAGCTGGCAATTGCTGAATCTCCGGAAGAGTTTGCTGGGCTTGTTCGCCGAGCTAACCAGGGAGATATACTCCTGCCAGCCACGACTGCTGAAATCAGAGCGTCCGTACTGCTGCTGGAAGGGGCTCCCAGTTCATAATCAACGAGGTCATCTGAGGCGTCAGACTTTATGCTTATGTCGAGAGCTGCTTTTATGAAATTGTGACAGGCTTGTACAATATCTGTCATTTGCAGATAGCTAGCAGCCGACATCACCTCGATGACGTTTCTGCTGGTCAGCGCTAGGTGTGCTGAGTACATGAAGTCAATGATTGCTTTGAAGCCCTGTGCCGTGACGATGTCCAAATGGGTGACGGTGGCCTGGTCGGATGTTTTCTGGACCTGGCAGTACAGCGTTTTGAAGTAGCGGCTGCTCCCAAGCAGAACGTTTTTGTGAGCCTTAAATATCTTCCCCTCCACGATAATGCAAACATCGCAGAGGATGCCGTGTTGTCTCTGCTCGTTAAGCTCCCGCAGCAGATGACGGTAGTGGGAAGCAATTTCCATATCTTCCTTTCGGTTATTCATTTGGAAATCTTTGTGTTTCCTCTTCCACAAGTCCTGTATGGGGAAGGAAATGACAGTATTACAAAATCCAGTACAAGCATACAGACGTGTTTTTTAAAGACTGAGACAAACCCCACGTTGTACCAAATTAAGTAACAGGTTCATCTTGAAAGAATGCCACAAAATACAGCCACTGCCTAGAAAGACTGCACATTCGTTACACCATACAGCTTACTTTTACCAGACTTCAAATAATTTACGTTAAAAGGGACCAGATTTGAAGCTCAATCCTCCAGTGCCTCGTAACATCCCAGAGAAAGATTTCTTTAAATTGCTACAGACTTGTAAGAAAACCTGTCTTAAAATACTTAAACAGCTGTCAGTTTTTACTGTTTGGGTTCAGTGAAGTTTGGTTTTGAAAGAAGTACGCCACTTGAAACCTCGCTGACAGAGGCAGGCTATTGAAGGGCACTCTGTAACACAATTTCCTCGAGGGAACACGCATTATGTGTAACACGCTGAATAGCTGAAACCCTCCAAAAGCAAAAGCCGACTGAAGCCAGCTCTTCCCCTTGCTATACTGCCATTGAGGGGCTATAAATACTGTTCGCAACTCCGAAGAGCAATAGGCAAATCCAAGACCAGACATCACAAAACCCTAAGTCCCCACCCAAACTAAACCGGCAACAGATCACAACTATGAAATTAATGTTACGTGAAGCTTAACTGCTTATAAACACAAGATTTTTAACTTCACAATAAATGTTTTATTTCCTTGGCTTTACACCTCTAAGTTTACCCCACAACCATCCTAAGATCCAGGGTAGAGAAATTCTAACAATGACTTAAACGCTCGGGTTTAGGATGGACACTTATGGCCAAAATAACAAAGCATCCATCAGGCTGGTAAGAATTCACAGGGCTTTTGATCACCTTTCATGAAATTTGTCAGTATGCTCTAAAAAAAGGCTAGTCAGTGCCAGAAGCACGGCAGAGACCCGTCCCACACGAAGGACACCTGCTTTCTCTCAAGAACTTAAATTTGTTCCAATACAAGAAGTTCCAACTGTTAAATTGATACGTGGGTCCAGACGGCAACATTCAAACATAAAATCAAGACCAAACTCTGGATGTAATTACGGGCAGGCGCACACATCAGAAGCCTGGATTTAGGCTATTGGTGGTTGCTGATAAAACCAAAAATCACTGAAATTCTGAGGTCTTACGGTCTTGAAGCACACATGGTTAAATGTAAGCGCTGTCGGTCAGGAGGCTGAGGCGAGCTTGAAGCAACGTTCTAACATACATCAAGTTCCAGCACAAATTCAGTCCCGTCTGCTTAAATCAGCTCACAGCAGCGGGCAGTCCTAGGACAGCCAGGATTAAGGAAGTTTCCTGACACATGCCAGTGGGTTTCCCATACAGTGGAATACAGATCCGTGAGACCTCTGCCCCTTCCCCTGGGCTGTGCTATTATTGTCATCCACAGGAGCAAACTAGCCAAAGTTTGGCCAACATTATTGGTTAGAAAACACCCTCCTAGCGCACAGAACATGTGCGATGCAGGACATCTCTCCTAGAGAGCCACCTGATGATTCAGAAGTTCAAGTTATGCCAGATCGCCTGCACAAACTTCTCCCGTTCCGCAAGAATGGAGCTGTCTCTTCAGCAGGGTCAGAAATGCTCATTTTCAGGACCAGCTGGTCCCTGATCACCGAGAAGCATTTGCTTCCCTCCAGAGGGGAAGGACCATCTTCCTTCCTGCAACACAAAGAGGCTGAACTGGGGGCCATCTATTTCAAACCCATACGGCTTTTCTACAGAATTAAGCACAGAATGCACAGAGCAGCTAATCTTTTTTTTTTATTTTATTTGAACTGGAAGTGGTCAATAATAGCGTAGCTCTGTACTCTCTGAATGACGCTACATCAAAACCTGCCTGAAGACCTCAAATCAAGTTCTCACACAGAAGCCATCTCCATCTCAAGTAAGTCAATAAATAAAAGAAATAAAAATCAAGTGAAGAATCAGAGTCAGGCAGTAAAGAGGGGGAAAAAAAACCCAACTTATTTTTTGGGTGTTTGGCCTGAAAAGGCTGTGCTAGGACCAGCCAGCACAGCCGCTCTGAGCCAGGCTCTGAAGGTGGCTGCCAGCGCTTCCCAACGGCTTCATGTTTGGAAGAACCACCTCTTAAGGCAGAATGACAGTTCAGTGTTGTCTTTATTCCAGAAACCACTACTGCATCTACTTTTAGGAGTTGAAGAGTCAGCTCAGTCCCCTCAGGAAATATGAATTGCCACATAGGATAAAGCGAGTTGTCCATCACCAGTCCTGCCTCCAACAGCTGCCATATCCCCATGATTCAGAGGAAGACGTGAGCAAACCTCCCAGCATACAATCCTACAATCCTGAAGCAATCAGAACGTTTCATAGACGGCGTTTCCTTTTGCTCTTCCTTCACAGGACTCAAAATCCATATTCCAAGACATCAGCTCCCTGGAATTGGCTGGTTGGGGGGAATCTCCTGCAAGGATAATTTTATGTTCCTGAATTTAATAGAGATGAGCACCAGGAGTATTTGTCAATGCCTTCACCTGCTTTAGTGAATTTATGCAACAAGAGCTTTTCTTCTTCAATGTTTTTCACCTGGAAATTACACAGATTCCTGGAGCTTTTATTTCTTCAGTATTTCACATGTTTATTCAGCTCAGTTCAGTGGGCTGGGTTGGTAACTATTTCAGATACACCTTGCCCTTTCTTTAACCTGCCTATGCCAGAAACCCAGATTAAAGTAGGTCTCTTGCTCCCTTTGATTTAGACGGGACCAGTCTGAGGTTCAGACACTGACTAACCTGCTGCTTCTAGTGGCTGAAGCACTTGCCAGCCTCTTTATGAAACAGCTCTTCTCTGACTTTATTTCCTATCAAGGGATTGTTACTGAACACACACACAGACATACATTAAAAAA